AATATCTATGAACTTTCTTACTGCCAGAGAATGTGAGCAAAGTGATGTAGGTATAAAGCAAAATTCCTTCAGACCTACTAATTTACTGATAATTGAATTTGGAATAAAATATGGTTATTTTTCTGCTTCTGTTTCTTTTTTTTTTCTTTTTTTTTTCTAATTTTTTTTTTTTTTTTTTTTTTTAATTATCCTGTATGTTAATATTCCATGCAACTTGCAGTTCGTTCAACTTGATGAAATTAAATAAGAACAGGCTAAATTCAATTTGATATAAATGGTAATGCCCAGTCAATATTTCTTACTTTCTCCTTATTTTGTTTGAAGTGGCCCATTCAAAGTATTGTAAAATATTATTTGAATTACTCAGTTTTTACTGAAGTATAATTAAAACCTACAATTTATGCATCAAGTTTTAAAATTCATGTGGATTATTTTTCAGAAAAGAAATTTATGCAGAAATTTCTTTAACAGAATTTTCCAATGTTGAGTTTATTAAATGAGTTATAATTTTGTTATCCTGTTTCTGCCTTCCTTAACTGCACCTTCAAATTTTAGTATATTTGTAAGCCTAGTGATTCTCATTGTGATTATTCAGATTTTTTTTAATAAGCACTTCCAATACTTGAAAATGTTCTGAGAGTCTTTATAAAAAAAACCCAGCTCTATTGAGATTGTTGTGAATATTATTTGCATGTGTGTACAAACTAACACCTCCAGACTTTTTTTTGTTGAGATGCTTAATCATTAGAGAAAATTTTCACCTTTCCCGTCCATTTTAAAAAAAAATTATGAATTCTTTAGCATATTTGGTTTGAGGCTTCTACTTATTTACATGATTTAGCTTTTATCAGGTGTGATAATAAAAGAATTTGGTGGGGGGAGTAGGTGAGGGGAAGTAGACGTTCTGTTAAACATTTCTGTTGTGCCTACAGTTATGCCCCTTCATTAGAGGTGAGCACTTTTTTTCTTTTGGTTTAACTTTTGTAGGGGCATCACTACTAAATAGTTTGATTACTGTTAATCAGTATTTCAATGGATAAAAATTTCTACTGATAAAATAAAACAGTTATTACTTGTATTTCTTTGCTTTTGCTTTTTCTTCCCTGCTTTTTTATGCTGTTTGCAAAAGACAGATAAGCATGTTTTCATTAGAAATTGCAGAAAAGGTATTGGAATATTTAAAGTATGTCCAATAAATGGAAAGCTATAAAGATTAAATCCTTAGATTGGTTAAAAATTATTACCCAAAAGTTTATTTCAATTGTCCTTTCAAAATCACTTATCTGATTCTAATTTCTTTGTTCATTTAAACAGAGCTTATTAAATTATTATAGAGCTTATAAATTGCAATATTGCTAAAAAGATCATCAGGGAGACAAAAAAATCATTTTGTTTCAAAACATTTTTGCAGTTAAATCTTATCTGTAAAGGTGTCTTTTTGTTGCTGATTTCCTCCCTCATCCCATTTATTTAGGTTGCTGTCAAATTCAACTCTTTTCTTTTATAAGCATCAGTTTAGTTTATTGAATTTATTCATGATAAATGGTTTTGTCAGTCACCTATCAGCCTCTACAACATTCAAACTTAAAAAAAAATTTCAAATGGAAACTAGAAGAAATCAATTTCTAGTCAGAATCAGATGACTTCAGGGTGCATTTTATTTTAGAACAATGCAAACCTTGATGTTTGTATGCAACTTGGTAGTGACTCCATTGCACATTTGCCTAAAGAAAAGACAACCTGGAGTTGCAATTTTTTATGCAAAATCCTCCACCCTTCGGCATGGAAAGGTGTCCCTGCAGTCACCTCCGGTGGGAAACCCTGAGGCCACATTATGATGCAGGTTGTGCCAACTCCTCTCTGTCCACGTCAATGATAACTTCTGCTTCTTTTACTTTGGGCCTTCTCATCTTCCAACAAAACTCCACATGACTTACAAAGACCGAAAAAAGAATCCCTAAACCAGCCTCTCAAAAATCACCTAAACCCCTCAACATTTCGTTCTCCAACCTCCGTGGCATTAGAACAAATTTCTGCAGTATGGAATCTTTCCTCACTGCAAATTGCCCAGATATACTGGTTCTCTGTGAGACCAATCTTGTCTCGTCTATCCCCTCCTCTGATCTCTCGATCCCAGGCTACCTTCCTCTCCTCAGAAAAGACTCTCTAACCCACATGCACGTCCTTGGTGTCTACGTCAAGGACCATCTCCCTCTGGCCAGAGAGTTGTCTCTCGAATCGCCAAACCAGTCGTACATGTGTCTCCGACTATCTCTTCTCAATGCAGTAAGCTATCTCTTCTTCCTTTACCACTCTCCTTCCTCTCAAGACTGTGGGATACTCGATAGCATTTCGGGCAGCATAGACAAGGCTCTCTCCCTCCACCCGTTTGCTCACATATTTGTATTTGGCGACTTTAATGCCCATCATACCATGTGGCTTAAGAATGCTACTATTGACCACAGAAACATTCAAATGCTCAATTTTTTCAGTCTCTCACGCAGATAGTTAACTTCCCCACTTACGTTTTGCCTTTCAACCGGGGCCAGTAAGACTCTCTTCTCATTGGAGATGGGATACCAGCCATTGTCTTGAAGAAATGTGCACCTGAACTGGCGCCGCCCTTTCTAAACTTCTACAACTACTGCCTCAAAGAATCTTGTTTTCCTGACTGCTAAGTCCTCTGCTGGAAGTCCTCTTGATTGTTCCTGTCTTCAAGAACTCTAGCGACCCCTCCCACCCTTCTAACTACAAATCCTATCAGTCTCCTACTCCTCTTGGCCAAGTTTTTTGAAGCCCTAATCAATACCCAGTGGTTAACCACCTCATCCCATCATCTGCTCTCAGACAAGCAATATGGCTTCCACTTTGCCCGATCTACAGCTGATGTGCCCCGACCATCACTGAAACTGTCTACAGCTATTCAAAATAGCAGGCTTCGTACCATGGCCCTAGACATCTCCAAAGCGTTTGATAGGGTCTGGCATGCCGCCTTCTTCCATAAATTCAGGGTTATGGCATTCTGGGTCGGATTGTTTGACCTAATACAATAATTCCTGTCAAACCGTGAATTGAAGGTCGTTCTCAGCGGATTCTCCTCCAGTTCTATCCCTCTGAGCGCCAGGTGTTCCTCAAGGCTCCATCCTAGGCCTGACTCTGTTCCTTATCTACATAAATGACCTGCCTGACGCCATAAATTCCCAAGTTGGCATCTACGCGGATGACACCACAATTTATTCCTGCCTCAAAAACAAATCTAGTGTCACTGACAAAACTAATCTGGCCGTGCATCTCGAAAAGGACCTCCAATCGGTTATGAACTGGGGCAGGAATTGGCTGGTCAACTTTAATCCTACAAAAAAATCAAAACTCTCTATTAATCACCACAGAGATCCTTCCCCCCATTAGAATGTCGACGCTCAACTTCGAAAGCACCTCTCTGCAGCTGCTCGGTCTCACGTTGACTGCTGACCTGAGATGGAACAAATACATCCACCGCCAGGAAAGTTGGCTCCCTGTGCCCAGGAAATTTTCTCCCGGAATCAATCCTCCAGATCTACAAATCAACAATTCGCCCTTGCATGGAGTATTGCTGCCATATATGGTCTGGTGCCCCTTCTGTTTGCCTCGGGGTTCTTAATAGGCTCCAGAGGCGGATATGCAATATAATTAGCCCTGCTCTGTCATCCCGTCTACAGTCACTTTCTCACAGACGCGCCGTCGCCTCTCTCTGTCTGTTTTACAAATACTTTCATGGCAATTGCTCCGAGGAGCTGCATTCGCTGGTTCCCAGATTTCATGAGTTCAAGCGCCCTACGAGGCTGGCATCTCGCTCACACCCTTTCACTGACGAAACTCCTAAATGTAGCCGTCTCTTCTTCTTCAATAGCTTCATGTCTCGCACCTCTCGCCTGTGGAACTCCCTTCCCTATTCCAGTTTCCCTGAGAGCTATAATCTCCAGCTATTCAAATGTAATGTCAATCGACATCTCCAGTTGCCTTGATCTATCCACTACCCTTCTCCTCATCCTTTCTTCTATCACTCCTATTTGATCTTGCTCCAAATTTTTCTGTAACCCCTTGTGTCCTAGTTGCTTAAAAAAATATTGTAATAGACGATCTTTCACCAGTCAGAAAGACTGATGACTGCTGATATAATTGTTTATGGCTGTAAAATCGAAGTGATGTCAGCTTAGACCCCTACCGAAATTGTGTTCTTGAAAAAAAGTTCTACACAGAAAAAAACAAACTGCATTAATGGAGATTTTAATGTTACCTTTTAGTATTTTTGAATGCCACTTTGATGGTAAGATGGTACCCTTTGAAACTGAAACCTCATAGCAGCAATGGTGAACTCATGTTGAATGTTTGTTATTTAAAAAAGATCTTCCATCCTAAACACATGCTGGGTCACATGGCATAGTTCCAATAAGATAACCAAAAAGATTATTGACTTTACCATCTTGGACGCTTGACGTAAGCAGTTTGTGACAGAATAGCCTTGTCAGTTAGTTTTATATGGATTGTTAAAAATGGCTTTGAGCTAATTAAGCCTGTAACTCTTAGCAGGGACTATTCTTCTTCAAATCTTGTGAGATGGCAGTACAGAATCATGAACCAAATCTTTACCAAATAACAGAAACTACATCACTTGAAAAACTTTCAACAGTAGCAACAACCAAAATTGATAGCACGTGTAACTTGAAGTGAAAACAATGACAATATTTTGACGTTCCACGATGCAAACAAAAGGTTAGGGAAAAAAAAAAGCTCACATTAATACTTGAAAGAGCAATAATAGTGGACTTGAGAAACCTATTTTCCTGAAAAATTGTTTTAAAAGCTATGATTGTTTATATCGGGAAATGACATTAAACTTAAAGTAATATTGCCCTGCAAAAAAATTGGTTTGAGTTAAGTGAATTTTTTTTTTAATTAACTTTATGGAACAACACTTGCACTTAATACTTTCTTTCTGATAACTTCACAATTCCTTCCACTTAGTACAATTCTTTGCTTGGAAAGAAAAGTTTTAAGTGCCTTTTCGCAATCTTCCAGTAACTGAGATCTTTAAAAGTATAAATTAAATGATAATCTAAAGGTACAATATTTGAAAAATATAGCAAATTAAAGTTTTTACATTTATTTAAATAAGAATAAACATGTATATAATTTTGAAAAAATTGTTACACGACAAAATTATCCTTTTGAATGAAGTTACTTGAAACTAAACTTAAGTGGGATCTATTGCTTATGACATCGGTATTCATAGTTGGGATAAGAATGACTAACAGATGAACAGCATCCTCTATGAAGTGTTCTAAGAAATATCTTTCCAAAACTGAAACTATGATTTGGAATGAAAGCTTTGATAGCACCTACCATGAATTCATAAAAATACAGGATGTGAAATTAGTAAATACTAGACACTTCAGCTGGATCAGCTATAACAAATTAAGTATAGAAGAAAAAGAAATTGAACATAGGTAGGCATAGGTAGTTTCGCCGAACACTGCAAATTGTTACGATACCAAAGCATCAACCTGAAAAATCGACTCAGATCAAGACTTTCATATGGACGCCATGCATGGCGCCACACCCGTTCAGAAATATCTAAACTCGGCTGTATACAATTATACGTAATAACCTGATCAGAAGTTACTTAATTTTTATCTTACAGTAAATTTTGAAACGTGTGGCGAACGCGTATCAGTACAGGCGCAAAAGAGGCCTCGAGTCGCGTGCGGACATGTCTAGCGAAAGCAGTCACATCCAGGTTTCTCCATTAGCGGCAGAACAGTTTGGTTTGTTCAGATACGGTTCTTTATTGACCGTCTTATGTCAATAAAAGCGAAGGGAAAACCAACAGTGGGTAGTCTACTTTTAGTGAGACTCACTTTGTTATCGTCGGAGATTTGCTGTCTTGTAAAGATGTTCCTTTGTCGCATTTTTTCTGGAAATTACGTACCGCCCACAGAGTTGTTTTTTTAAGTAGTGGCCTCACTCATCATTATTCAGTTTCTTTTTATTTCTTCCTGTCTCCCTTATATACCTGTTTCCTCTCAATTGTTAAGAGAACTACCTGTTACCTGTAAAGTGTTTTCCCCTCAATTTTTCTACAAATAGTTACAAGTTTTAAGTTATTTCTTATTAATGTAAATGTTAAATTTAAATTTTCTAATCAGTTACTCACTGAAAAATAATTGGAAGACCATTTATAAAAGACAGGCAAATTTGCGCGTTTGCAAATGAAAAATTTTCCTGTCCTTTTACAAAACAAACTGGCAATGTTTTTATCAACTTTTCAATTTTGAAATTCAAGTAGAAATCAGATTTTATTAGGACAATGCAATTCATGTTTAAGATGTAAACATCTTATTGATAGACAGTTGTTTATAAATTAATAGCCAATACATATATACCAACAGTAAATGTTTTCTTGTGGACATTAGTGTTATCCTAATTTTTCAGTTGACTTCCGATTTCAGTATAAAAGGGGGAAATCAATAAAGTGACATAAGTTGACCGAAAGATGTTAGTTTATAAAGATTTTCCATGTGTACAGCTGTTACCTTTCTAATGCATTTCTTTGTTATTGGGTGTTTTTCGTCTATTCTGTTTCATTATTCTTTTTATCTAATAATAAATCTTAGTGTAAATGTTAGAAATTTTGGATTTGTCATGTAATCTATGCAAATTATTGTGCAGGTTAGATTAATTGTTTGCTTTACTGATTCTCATATTTTAATTTCATTCAGTTATAGTTTTATTTCAATGAGTTGATTAGGACTCTTTAGAACCTCCTCATAGGATAGGAATGTGCAGTCAGTTTTCGATTATCTGCTGTGAACAAAAACTTGATGCCGTCTAGGTTAAAGAAACTTGTATGTATAACTAGTTTTTTAAAACTTAAATCTATTTTCATTCGTTTAAGGTATCTATCACTTTTTTTTAAAAGTTGATTGTTTTGCTTAATTATTTCATAAAACTTTGACATTTAAAGCTATATTATGAGTAATCTCAAATTGTTACTTGTGCATTCGCGCGTGTATATATGTACTCTGAAGTATGCTTTGAACTAAGAAAAAAAAAGGTGTACCAAGCTATTTTCTAATGTCGTTACTTAGATAAATATTTAGTATTGGTTTTTATTTAATTGTATGTATTGAAAACAATACTAAAATCATAGTACTCCAGACAAAAATGAATTTTTATTTCCGATTTAAAAAAAAAAAAGGTAAACGAATGAAATGACTCGTTTTATTGGATTTTATAAATATTTTAATGATAAAAGGATGATGATAAAACGTATAAGTTGCTGTTAGCAAAAAGCGTAAATTTGAGGTGGTAAATCATGTGTCCACCTTATTGATTCCGAAGGGAGTACAATTTGCTTTTGTTGGCATAGTTCATTCAAATCTTGTTCAATTCCGTTGAGAAAAAGTCGCAAACTATTATCACATTGTCCAAGATTTATTGCTAGAAGTTCGGGGCAATCTAAATGTAGCTGATGCAAATCGCTGCAACCGAACATATTCAGATAGTGTAGTAGGCACTGATGAAGAGCTACGGTCTCTAAACTACGGCATTTCTCTAAGTTTAAATGAGCAATGTTTGGACAACCAGTTAAAGCCATCTGAAAGACGTAATCTGTCATTTGACATCGATAGAGTACAATTGTCTTCGCTAGTGGAGTACATATAGAGAGAAGATTTAGTTTACAGTCAAAAAGTCTCACAAATCCCACTGCACCCATAGCGTGTATGATGCAAGAATCCAGCACTAACTGATCATCGCTACAGATATTAAGTTCTATCGAGTCTACACTCACACATTGTATGGTCATAGTCTTCAGTGCTGGCAGGCCAATGAGAGATACTTTGCAAAGATGGTTGGCCACAATATAGACATGGCTCAGTGTAATAATATCGTTTTCTGATTCTGTGTGAAATAATCTTAGAGTAGGACTGCGTACATGAACAGATTCACAAGCGAAATCACTTAGTAAACATAACTCTTGTATGCTGGGAATTATGTATTCATCCAAAGTAAGACTGTCCCGAGAGATACATCCAACCTTGAGGCAGATTATGGCTGTGTTCTTTTGTAGTGTGTCCCGAAAACTGTTCATTTCAATCTCTTCACAATTAGACAATTCTAGAACGGCGAGTCGTTCACTGCGAATGTTAAGTGTTCGAACAGCATCGCTACCATTGATCGCAACTCGCTTTAGTTTTGGCGTGAAAAATTCTATATGCTCGATAGATTCAAGGCCGTGGTCAACTTCAACGAGCCGTAAAGTGCTACTTTCAACACTAATAAACACAACATTCCATAAATTATATAGGTAAAGTTTTTGCAGTGAGCAACTCACAAGTCTTATTCCATGGAGATTCTGTAATAAAAATAAATTTGGCAAAAATCATTGAAATTAAGTTTTGATGGTCAAACAAAAATATTCAAGAAAGAAGTGGTGAAATCAATTCATCACCAATTTTGGATTCATTATTTGTAATTTGAAATCATTCACTGAATAATTTGTAATTTTTTATTTATTTGTACAATGAATTCACTTGAAAAAAAATCGGCGGAATGAAAAGGGGAAAATTGAACTAATTAATGACCAATATGTAATAAAATTTATAAGAATATTTAATTTTGTCAAACCAATTCTCTGGAATAATGCTTCTTGTGAAATGTATATGCTTGTTAATAATACTAAAAAAATTGAAATCTCTTGAAGTTTAATGTATGAGTGTGTCACTTTGAATACTTGATAATATTTGAATTTTCATTACTAGCGTTCAAACACGAAAATATCATAAGAGTCTACTTATTTTTCTAAAATCAAATTTCTATTTGCTTATCTCATTACTTTGCAATATTTCTTATATATATATATATATATATATATATATATATATATATTTTTTTTTTTTTTTTCGACGTAAATATTAATAAAAATGTTCATGAAAAAATGATTTTATATTTTTTAACATTTGGAAAATTAGGAATAATAAATGCAGCTGTTGTACGTTGAAAATTAGACATTAACGTTTGATGCTAAAACTCAAGTTTAGTATTTGTAATGTGTAGCATATCAAATTAGGACTATTATATTTTTCGTAGAATTTGTAATTTTAATAATATTTTTGGCCTGAATGTTCATGATTTATTAACATGATATTGTAATCAGATACCAAAAAAGAATGTTTTATAAAAATTAGACAAGAAAAACAAAAAATAGAAAAACTGTGAATCGGTAATTAGAAAAATTAATTCAGAATATAAATGAAAAGACAATGATACATTAATAATGGTTTAAAATTCGCTTTTCGTAGCGAATGGAAATGAGCCCCTGATCAAAGAACTTGTTTTTCAAGAACAGATGAGTACAAAATGCTGCGTATATTAACCAGCGCAGCGATGTGTCCATCCACCTGTCACTGATCGATATGAATGACGTCAAAGCAATCAATAATCTCTTGCTGGCTCGAGTTATTCATACAAATGTAACAACTTTGACAGTGTATTGAGATTTCATTTCTTTACTTTTGCAAGCATATTTATAAATCGTCGTTGGCGTCATCATTGTCCTCGTTCTCTGCTAAAAATCGACTAAAATCTCTACAGAAAGCTTTTGATTAAACTGATAAAATAAGATCTTCACTATTGACTCAATACACTGAGCAGATTATATTTTGGGGGAATATTTTTTAAATTAGGATATATTTATCTATCATCATTAATATTATGAATAAGGAATAAATACATACAACTGTACACTGCATTGTTCATATTTGTTCTTTACTCAGTTCTTACGAAATGAATATAATGGCTTTTAAGATACTTGGCTTAAAGGTATTTGATAATATAAATGTATTATCAAATATATTTCATCTTTCATTTTTATGGAACTGTAACGAATTTTTTTCTGTAACATCGTTTTAAGTGTCTTCATGTATAATGTTTTTCAATAAATTTTGAAGATGGAACTCTGAGGAACTTTATAAAGGCCTTATTTTAAAAAAATGCAATTTTCCCCCTTTTTTATCGTCAATATTTATTTTCAGAACGGCCTTCTAGGTAAAGATACTTAAATTTTTATTTTATTTTAATTATTATTCTTCTTCCATTTTTTGGTTAAATATGTTAAAAAATGAAAATTATCAATCATTGCCACCCATAGTTGTCTCTCTCTCTCATATATATATATATATATATATATATATATATATATATAATCTTTCTATCTATCTCTCTCTCTCTCTCATATATATATGTATATAGTCTCTCTCTCACACACACACACACACACACACATATATATATATATATATATATATATATATATATATATATATATATATACACACCTAGTGAGCCAGACAAAACCTACCTAGGTTTCACCTAAACGGATCGTCAGGGAAAGTTTGGCTAACGAGGCAAAGAGAAACACATATTTATAGGTGATAGCTAAAATCATACCACGTGACAAAAACAAAAAAACAAACAAAAACAATATTTCTAAAAATATTCTGTATAGACTTTCTACTAATTCCTCCAATAGGGACATTTTTGAGGCCAACAAAATAAGTTATGAGCAAGCCCTAATTAAGAGTGGACATAAAAATAAATTAGAATATATAGACAACCACAACATTACTCGGAATAAACATAATAGGCAAAGAAAAATTTTGTGGTTTAATCCCCTTTCAATTTAGCGGTAAAAACTAAAATTGGTAAGATATTTTTTTAATTTACTGGAACAACATTTCCCAAAAAAAAAACTAAGTTACATAAAATATTTAACAAAAACAATGTAAAACTTAGTTATTGTTGTATGCCGAACGTAGGGACTATTATAAATGGATTGAATAAGAAAAAACTAGGAATGATCCACGTAGTAATCCTCCTACTTGTAATTGTAGAAACAAAAACATCTGTCCATTACAGGAAAATGCCAGCAGGAATGCGTGGTGTATCAAGTGAAAATTTACAAAAATACTGAGGATACTAACCCTAAAACATACATAGGTGCTACTCAGGATAAATTTAAAAAAGATATTATAACCACACGAGTAGTTTTAAGAATGCAAAAATTAAACATAGTACCACGCTATCTACCTACGTATGTAAAAACCCAAACAAGATAATATAGACCCCATCCTTAAATGGGAAATATTAAAAAATGCCCAAAATATAAAGCAGGCCATAAATTTTTGCAAATTATGTGCTGAGGAGAAATTAGCCATAGCTTTATATGATCAACCTAACCAGCTATTAAACTCCTAAACTGAAATTCTCAATGTATGTAGACATAAAAAATCTTGGCTACTAAATTAGACGTTTTCCCGTTATTGACTTTCCACTGAGGATTTTTTTTTTTTGTTGAATAAATATTTATCCCCCCCACTTAGGTTGTTTTTGTTTGTTTTTTGTTTTTGTCACGTGGTATGATTTTAGCTATCACCTATAAATATGTGTTTCTCTTTGCCTCGTTAGCCAAACTTTCCCTGACGATCCGTTTAGGTGAAACCTAGGTAGGTTTGTCTGGCTCACTAGGTGTATCTAGGTCTGCTCTACGGTTGTATTGAGCTCTTTTGTTAGTTAGTTGTTACTCGTATCGGGGTTTTTCTTTGGGCTTCAGACCTGCATCTGTGCGATTTTTTGTCGGCAGAAGTTCATGTTTGTAGCTCTTTCTTTTTAAAACCTTTTTTCCTCGAGATTGATTTGATTAGCAAATCAAAAATTCGAGGGTTTTTCAAACAAGTCTAGTTATCTATATATATATATATATATATATATATATATATATATATATATAATATATATATATATATATATATATATTCGTCCGCCTTTTCATTTTTTTTGATATTTCGATACAAAAGATTGACATTTTATTTTTTATAAAAATATGTTTAAATACTCTGAATGGTTATACAGTTCCTTAAATAGTAGCTATGCTAATTTCTTGAAAGACACTGCCAAAGTGCAGATGTTATAATAAAGGACAATAATCTTGTAATTATGTAACTAGTATCTTTGCTTACTGTTCATAGGTTAATATTTGTAACGCCGTTTGTCAAGAATGCACACTGCTTTCTTAAGGGTGTATTGAACGCTTAGACTTACAATAAAGTGTTATTTAAAAATAAAACTCAAATGTTTTTTTCTAAAGATTATAACATTGTTCAACGTTTTACACTATAGCTTCTATTAAAGTTTGCATAATTGATTTGAATCTATGAATCACGAAAGTATTTTTGTCAATACGAAGAAAGAAAAAGATATGGAATGTCCAATTATTAGCAACGTTTTTCCTGATTCGATTGAATAAGAAAAGAAAAGGCCTACCTCACAATTGCTTATACAGAGTTTCTTTAACCGAGAGAACTTTTTGACGAGGTCCCACAGTTCATCCATCTCTATAGGAACGTAATGAATGCACAGAACCGTAACTAGCTCAGCAAACCTTGACTCGGCTACTGCTTGGATGATGTTTAAGCCTTCACTCATGGCATACTCACTTCGGATGTCGTTGAGAAGAAGACCAGAATTTATTTTAAATTTCACCGACTGAAGATACGGGAGCTTTTCAAGCAGCTGGAGAACTCCATGAGTGGTTAGTTGCCAGCAAGCATTCAGTGAAATTTCTTTTAAACGTGGGAAATTCCTAAGATAGAACAAGAAACGCATTAGTAACAGAATTATTATGACTGTTCTGGTTGTGTACATTACTGATATTTATTAAGTTTAATAATAGACGAAAATGAGAACTCATTAAAAGTCTTCAAGCTGCAATGAACTTGTATGGTGTCTATATATATATATATATATCTTTTAGAGTATGACCTGTTTCTTATTGGTTATTCTCAATTTACGTAATAACTGTAGATTTTAAAAGATTTGTTCAAATACCGATGACAAATTCAAGCGTGACTAATTACACTCAGGCTCCCTCTATTGATATTTCCACAAAACTCTCTAAAAGCTGAAATATGAAGCTAAAGAAAACCTTAATAAAATTTATAAAATTATTTCAACCATATTTATATAAATATGGATGTACAAATGTAACAAAAGGAAGTTTGTCTTGAAGCACTAGTTAAATTCTTTTTATATATTTTTAATAATAAAAATCATAACACTTCAAAAGGCAATGAAATATGCGCACTTATCTCTAAGATTTATTACTATCAGTAGTAGTATCTAGTTCCTTTATATTCCAAACTGTTAACTTAGATTTAAATTATATATTGAATTTATATTGCATTTTTCTATATTGTATTTATTTACCAAATTTGTTTATCACTTTCTGAAACTTTCTATTTATAGTTTTGGTTTTTAAGCCTATTTTTTAAATTTTAAATTCATTAATTTCTACCACTATTAAAGGAACAATATTTTTCAAAGCGTTGAAAGAGCGATTGTGTTCGTGTTACAAATACAAAATATACAAGGAGGGAGAAGAAAAAACAAGAATAAATGATTGCATATCTTGATGTCTTACCTGGCAATTCTTTGAAAGTCTTTGTCTGTCAATGAAAAACCTCCATTTATTTGGATACGTTCTAAATCGCTTAGAGGTGCAAGGCTTTCTACGACAGATAATGTCCATAGAATTGGCAACCGAAGATAACGAAGGTTTCTCAGACGCGAAATCAAGGAGAAAACACTTTCATAGACGGGAGACTGTTCTCTCCAGATGAGTTTCTGAATGTGGTGTCCGTACAGGCGAAATATTGAACAAAGTAGACTGAAATGCCAGTAACTCAATCTTTTTGGATTGACATGAACTACTCTCCAAAGAGATCCGGTCCTCTCAAGGACAGATTTCCATTTACGACATACAAAAGCCATAAGGGAAAGTTGATCTTCAACTGGGTGTAAATATCTAAATATTTTTCCTAGAACTTCTTCAGGTAAGTCATTGATATTACAGCTTTGTTCAGGTCTCCAGTAACTTTCATACAAATTGTTTCCTTTCTTCCAAATAGTACATTCGCAGAACATATCCATTTTGATGAGAAATAAAAAAATTATCTCGTAGAAATTACAGATTCGCTCCCAATTTCGATCGTCCTATAGCTCTAGGCCTTACTATGCTTGTATCAATAGTAAGTCAGAGTTTCATTCATAAACCATGTAGACGCCTACGTAACATAAAGGTGAATGGAATTCGGGAGATTCATGTCATCACATGATTGCTTACGTCAATGCCAGCTGTTTCAATTGTCGAAATGCATCGTGGACAGATTGTCAAGATCTGTGAACTAGTTTAAAGTTGTTCATATTGATCGCTTTGCAGCATATTTAGTTTGTTATACTTGTATAGCTTTAGAGAGGGTAGTGACAAAGAATATATTATTTTCATGAATTTTACTTTATTATATCAAGAAGACTTTTAAGAACGGAAAGTTCTATAGGAATTTTTATCTTGCATAAGTTTCAAATGTATTTTAATATAATTGGTCTGTGAAAAATGTTAAAAAAAATACATCCCCGCCCACGAATTCAGTTCAGAGCTTTCCTTTTTTTCTCTTCGCCCTCAAGTTGAATCGGTGTACGTTTATTTTGTGGAAGTTACAGAAGTAAGTAAATTTTAACTTTTTCTCGTTGTCCTTGTTAACTGGTTTTTAAACATGAAAGTGAAAAACTTTCGGTTAGCACCATCTTGCTTTATTGTGTAAATATTCAGTGAAATCTTTGATATCTTAAGCAACATTGAACATTATGGATGTATAGAAACTAGGACTAGATTATCTAAGACATTTGAGGAAAGAGACATCAATAGATAGTCACATAAAAATGGATTTTATAAACAAAATTCTCCATGACAAAATGAACTAAAGAAATTTCGAATAATATTTGGACTGTATGTAGATAAAGCAAACACTGAAATGATATCCATAAAAACACATAAGATGTATTAAAAAATGAAGAAATTCTTATTAAATATGACAATTGTTGATTAAAATTCCGAGTATTTAGCGTTAACAACCTTGTCTGGCTCTCTAGATTTTTGTGCGTTCATGTATATTTTCACGTTACACGTTCCCTTCACAACTGTTTAACCTCAACAGTCATTCCTTCCATCTACTCGAATAACATATAGCATTTGTTACTTGTATTAGGTTAGCAGAAAAAGATCTTTATATTTGCGATGGTTGAATTAGTTTAGCTAAATTGATTTTAAGAGATAGCTTTTGGATGCGTTGTCATATAAGCGTACATTTAAAAATAATGATAAAAATTGTCTTTTTTTTTTTTTTGAGTGGAAAATGTTAATAATCCGGAAAGTATTAACTGGTACGAGATCTTCTAAACATAAAAAGTGGAATACGAACAATCTAACATTGTTGATTGAATAAAGGGTTCTGTTAAAAGTTTAGAGAAGGTTTTTGGGTTTGACAGACACCTGAAGAAAGTCAAAGAGTATAATGACCCAAATGTTGTTTGGTTTGGTTGTTTTGTTTAGCGGCATATCGACACCTCTATGGGTTATTTAATGCCGAAATCTAAATATTTTGAACGCAATTTTATGTCTTCAACTACAGACATTTTGCAGATAATTTTATAAATTGAAGGCGAACTTGTACTATATAAATATATAGGTTGCAGATGGTCTATTGTAGGTGTCAGATGTTTTGGTATAAACCTATTTCTTTAAGGTAGGACATTATGTTGACGGTTTCAGTATTTTCAAATAGTTTTTTATATGTTGTTTTCTTTTGTAGTATTTATCTTACAGGTGTTAAGTAAATACATTCAGTTAAAAAGTTTCACCGTGAGTGAAGCTTGGCATGTTGTACATATTGGTTGATCTTCATTCTTCAGCAAGTATGAATGGGTGATGTATGTGTGGCCTATATTTGCCTATGCGTAGTCGAGCTAGTTTTACTTCGTCTTTTCTAAACATTTGTTTCCATTTACCTAGGAATGATTTCATTGTAAGAAAAACAAAAAGATTTTATTATTTGTGTTTTTCGTTCTGCGCTTTTGCCATTTCTGTTGAATGTAATTTTTTATTTTACTTTTTACGTCTTGCAATTATTATCAGAGGTTTCGTTTTGGGCAGACTTTGCGACTGAATCTGCTTGATTACTATTTCTTCTAATTCCTATCGGACTTGCGATCCAGTATCGTACTATTATTACTTTACTGTTGGACAATGAATTTAGTTTGCATAGTAATTTTACTAGCAGTGGGTTGTCATTTTTAAAAAAATGTTTTTTTGATGTTATAACAAATAAAGAGTCGGAGAATATTACATATTTTTTATTTTTGTTTCTAGATATGAAATCGAGTGCCAGGTCCATTGCACAAATGGAAATTGAAGTTTCTTTTGGCAGATGTTTCTTTTTTGTTGTTGTTGTTTTCTTGTTATGCACTAATGCATTACTTGTATTAGGTTAGCAGAAAAAGGTCTGTATTTTAGATCAAATATGATATTGTGTGCAGGGCATGTTTTTAGCTTGATATAGTAGTGTAAGGTTATTTTGTCACGTGTAAGTTTTGGTGGAGGCTCATTTGCTTCTACATACAAAACCTTCTACAAGAAATTTTCTGAATGTTTCAAGCGCCAATCTCAAACCTTCGTGGAAGGTTGGGCTAAGTATTTTGAGATGTGATTTCCTTGCCGATTTGTATATGAATCTTCCATAGATCAGCTTGGATCAAATTAATGTTCTGTATAATTTGAGTATCGTTTTCCAGTCTGCTCCTCAATTTTTGTCAACTCCCACTCAAGTGTTGTAATGTTTATTGCATTTTGTTTTCAGATATCTTAAGTGTGATATGAACGTTAGTTTCTTGCCGAAAATTATTCCCAATAAACTACACTGGTCTACCTTTTGGATTTCTGTTCCTTCGACTTGCAATCTTGGATTATTATGCAGTTTATTTTTATTGCAAAAATGCACGGATTTTGTTTTGGTTTTTGAAAATCTAAAACCGTTATTTATTTTCCATCTGTTGATCTTATTTATGCATGGCTGCAGATTTCTTTTTATGGTAGGCATATTTTTGGATCGGTAGCTTACAGTAATATCCATTTGTACATTGAGTGAGTTCTTTTTCAATGTTATTTATTTTAATACTGAATGAACAGTGATTAACAATATGCACACTTATGGCACACTTTGTTTTTTGATTGGACAGAAGACAGACAAGATCCAATGCGAACTCGAAAGTTACATTCGAAAGACAGTTGTTGATGAATTCTGATAGTCGGAGGTCAAGTAGATCTCGCGTGATCCCATATTTCCAGATAGTTTCGTATGCCCTTTTCAAGAATACAGTAGTCATGTGTTCTTTTTTCATAAATGCTTCCCTTATAAAGCCTTCTAAGTGAACTAGGTGGTCCATTGTACTTATGTTTTTCTGAAAGCCACATTGTAAGTCTGTTATTAATTGGCTGGATTGCAAGTATCACACTAATCGATTTTTCACCATTCTCTCCAAAGTATTACAGAAACAGCTTGTGATAGAAATCGGTCTATAATTTCCAGGTTTCTGGAATCGGTATGACAGTAGTTTCTCGCTATTATTCCCGGAATTTCTTCGTTGTCCAGATATCATTGTATATTTTTAGTAACAATTTCAACGACTCTTTTGGGAGTTGTTTTAAGAACTTATAGTGGACATCATCTGGTCCTACGATTGAATTATGTAAGCTTATAATGAAGTCCTCAAGTTCTGTCCGAGAGAATGGTTTGTTGAAATCTCCCAGATTTTCTTTGTTTAGAATTTTAATTTGTATTTTTCTGCATTTTGTTTTATAGTTTGGGATTGTTGTTTACATTTTTTTTTTTTGACAAATTTTTCGAGGATGTTTCGTCCAATATATTTTTTTCCGTTATCATACTATTATTTATTGAGAGATGTTTTACTGGCATAGGTTGATGTTGGCCAGCTATTTTTCTAATCACTTCCTAAACTGTTTATGGTTTTGGAAAAGAATTTAGTTTGCTTAAATTTTGCCATCAGTCCTTTTTGGCTTCTTTTATAACTTTACAGGCCTTTGCTCTATTTAGTTTATAGTTGATAAGGTTGGCGGTTGTTAGTTCTTTGTTGAATTTTCTAAGGGCTGCTTTACGTAGTTTAATTACTTCTTTATATTTATCATCGAATCGAAATCTGCTTCTTCTGCTTAATATTGGATTTTGGGGAATGAATTCTTTTACTATGGCTTACTATGAAACTATGGTTTCCGTTTCATTTTCTGCTGTTTCTATGTTCTTTTGAGTTAGTTTGTCTTTACATCATTTTTCAAAATTTCCTCATTCAGCCATGCTTAGCCTCCATCTAGGTGGGTGGTCATCGATCTGTTCCTCAAGATGATCGATAAATGGTCGTTACCGCATATATCGTCGTATACATTCCAGCTAAAGTTTTGCTCTGGTGTATGCCATTTTTATCAGGACAGTTACGCATCCAGAATCACATTCATAACACTGGAATCGCCCCGATTCTAGTGTTATGAATGTGATTCTATTGTTGATAGTTTCTAATATTAAACTTATTTTTTCCTTGAAAACAAATAACAGGACAAAATGTTTCAATTAGCATGAGTGATTCGTTCTAATTTGGCACGACATTTCCCTTAGATTATTCTATATCCCATGTGTATATTTTTATTTGAGTTTCAGACTTTTTAGTGATTTGATTGTTTTTTGGTTTGGCGTATCAACCATTCACTCTAGGACCTGGTATTTATTATTGTGGGTATAAGGGTTTTTTTTTTTTTTTTTTTTTTTTTGTGGACGGATTAGTGATCTTTGAGATATTTGTTTGCTATAGGTGGTATTTGAGACGAAGTACGCGAGTTCAAATTGGGTTCGATTTATGTTTGACAGCTT